ATTTTTTCCTCATATATGTAAAGATTGTTGGTATACTCTTGTTGTAACTATTCCTATATGTAAACAATCTCAACTATCATGTAAAATGTCTCCCTATGTGAATCAAATGAGAAGTCATAAAAAGATTCCCAGATCAAATTTTCCTTCGTCTCTCCTCGTTATTGTTACCTTAAATTCTTCTACATTTCGAATATTTGAACTTATTTCATTTATTTTTGCTCTATTATCAACAAATTAACTATAATAAACTTCGCTTTTTGTTTTATTACATCGTATCCCACATGCACAAGCTAATTTTGCTAAATTTTAATTTAACATTACATCTAAAAAACCTTTCGTAACACAACACGCAAATGATGGATACACCTCTTTGCCTTCAGAATAAGGCTTCTATATTTCTTTCTGGCAGAGTTGCTAATGGGAGAAATTTAGGAAATGGGTTTCTCTTGACTAGAGAGACAATGGCCCGGAATAATGTTAGAAATTGAATATTTAATCGATTCCCCTCATTATCCGACTTTTGCCAGACTTTCCAGAGCAGACTAAACGGATTTAATCTGCATCTCACGGAAACACGCAGTCCTTACGCTACATACAGCTGGTTCTCCCCAATGGAGTTCCACGAAAAGAGTGAATAAGTGTGATTAAAATTTTAAATTGTCTAGGAATTTCAAAAACTGAATTTTCTGGGAAATTTCAAAGACTGAGTTTTCAAAAATGCTATCAGATAAAAGTATTGGTTAGTTCAATTATATTCCATTTGATTAAACTAAATTGAATGTGCACTCAATCGTAATAATGCCTTCATGAAAATTCGGTCGTTCTTTCCTGATTTCCGTCTTGAAATTTCTTTGCTTTGCAAGTTGCTCGTCGTTGTATAGAAAAGAAATCACCCGTCCCAAAAGTTCATTAGTCTTAAAGTATAATCAAATCAAAGCTGATTCAGATAAATGTCTGTATCATCGAAGAAGTGATCAGAAGCAGTCTGTACAGATGGCCACAAGATAGAATACCTATCTTTGATATTTTTAACCGCTGATACATTAATACTCAACGGTTTTAATTACCTATTCTAAACAACATGTTAACTAATATCACGGTTTAAAATCTATAAAACGAATGTACAAATCTTTTGAATTTCACTCCTAAGCAATTACCATTCATTTTCATTGCTGCTTATTCGAAAAATATAATCTAGGAGCAACAGTATATAATTACAGATGACTCATGTTGAACGTCCAAAAGAAATATCGAATTTTATTATCACTAAATATCACTTGATAGACGCAACTTGAATTCATCAAAAAATTGGACCTTACTAACTGTATCATTATAATCTTCGTGGATATTCATTTGTTCATCATCGATAATAATGTCAGTAGGATCATCCATTCTATAGAGATGATTCTGTAATCGCGGTAATCATTGGTCCCAAACGATTAAAAGTTAGTTATCATAGCTTCTTCAATATATCCAAAGTAAAACCATTAAGTGAATGATATAGTTTTCATTTTCCCAACAAAACTTTGGAAAAACTAACCTATGTGATGCTTAAAAGTTTGGACAAGAAAGTTTGGAAGGATTCAATACCAAAAGCTTCACCATCATTTCGAATCCATGTTACAAAAGGTCTCGTTTCGCGTACTGCTGTTAATGCGAGAATGAGATAAGTAATGAATTCAGAACCATCTTTCTTCCACTTTTGCTCTCTTCTTTTGAGAAATGCGCTAAAGAAACAAGCGAAGAAACTTATTGTGAAGAAATTGAAAATAGAATGATGTTCAAGAATTGACTGAATCAGGATGTTCGGGAAGAGTTGACTGAATCTCAACATTTTCCAACAATTTATCCGAATCCTGTTCTTAGTTTATCGTTGTCGATAATCGAGATGAACACATAGATAAACAGAATCCCCTAATTACAACACGAAACTTTCGCATGCAATATATTTTAGTTGTTATTTATACCACAAATAAATTCTAATATTCATTCATCGAATACTTTTCTTCCTCATAAATAAAATAATATTTGTAGGTGTTATAGATCGTTATAATAGTTATTATTTTAGTTTAAATGGATTAATATAATCCATTTAAACTCCCAAACATATGATGTATCCGAAACGAGCCTATTTTACACTTCTTTTTTCACGAGTTATATTTAAAAAGCGTACAGAGTGATACATGAGAGAGAAATATCAAGCGAGACAGCAAATATTTGATCCCATAAATACTTTCAAGAAATTGGAACAAAGGTCATATGAGTCAGTTCTTGAATATTTTCCACCCAATGTCATGAAAAAGTTCATCGTCATTCAAATGAAACGAAATGAAAATAACAAATGCGCCTCTCATTGCAGAGCTTTCCATGCAGCTTCGCAGTTCAACAGTCCCTTGTATGCAATCTATAACCAAACACCCCTCAGAACCAACTCATACTCATTAACCTTTCAATTTCAAATTTCTTTATCCTCGTCGCACGTCTTCTTTCTTACTGAAACTCTCGGTATCTCACGCTTCGTACTGATAACACTTTACTTACCTAATGACCTTCAGCAAACAGCAGTCATTTTTGGGCGACACTAATTCATTGGAAAATCTTAAAATTAATGTCAGAACCAATAGGATTATCCAGATATTTAGTGAGTCTTCTTGTTGTATCAGCCTTGCGAAGAGAAAAACGATTGAACAATTGTTTGGCTCATTAGAGCTTTTGCTCAGGTTAATTTAAAGTAGTTACTCTATTCTATTTTTACTTTTGTTTATGCAACTAAATATTATTAGCACCAAACAACAGCATTAAATACAGAGAAGAAAGGAATATTAAGCGAAAGAGATATATAAAAGTGCAATGCAAACAATAATTAATATATAAGTGCAATCAAGTCATTGTGCTAAAACTCGATTGATCACATTTTCCGACTCATCATCATCGGTTTCTTTTAATTTCGTTTCACACACAGAAAGCAAATTTTTTGATGTATTTTGTAAAATTTCAGGCTGTGAAACATCGCAATATGCTCTGGCCATTTCTATGGCACTTCTCCAATCTGTACTACGCGCTTCGATGGAACAAAAAACAGTGTCCAATCTATAAATAGACTTTTTTTTAAGAAGCGCACATATTTGCACTTATTTTAGGACTATCTCATAAAAACGGAATTTAAAGGAAAGGCCTAAACAATAATTACATTTTCTCCAATTCGACATAAAAGGCGACCAAAGATTTTTGAAACCGAAGGTTTAATCAGTAAGCAAAACTGGCTGTTTATCTGTTGATAATACCATCATTACAATTAATTAAAGCAAATGTATGATGCTAGAAATTTCGTGGTCCAAAGCCTAACAGCTTTTAAAAAATCTGATTATAACTCAGTATTCAAACCAAAAATGACTCCAAAAATACTCGCTAATAATCGCCAAAAATCGATTCACTGGATCTCGAAATAATCCAACGTCTCTGTACAGAACGTCAGAAATGTGAACCAAAAAGTCACTACTGTGAATATGCATGGAGGATTCAGAATACTTACTTTTCCAAAACAGTTTGTTGAAATTTATAAGCAGCTGAATGAAAATAAGCTCGTTGGGCATTAGAACTTATAGCACTTTGCTTAAGCATGAATTTACGAACTGATGGCCATACTTGAGGAATAAAACGACGATAACAGAAACTGCCAGAAAGTTCACACATCGTTACAACAATCTGTAAAATAAAGTCATGCTGAAGTGCAGAAAAGGAAACAAATAGCATCAGGAATTATGTAAAGTGAACATTCTTAAATAAAATAAAAAATAAAAAGAAAAGCGTGAACTTCAATAACAAAAAGTACGACAGAAACTTATAAACTATGAAGAACTTTGTTATTCTGAAGAGTAACAAAACTCCAAAATAAAAATTTAATGTAGATTGAAAGGAAAAAAGATATGCAAGGAAAAAACAAAAAATGGCATACAATAATATCTAAAATGATATAAAAATAAGTGAACTTCAAAAATGGACATGAATAAAATTTTTCAATGAAGTTTCGATATATGATATAGTAATTTAAATCAGAACTTATCTACTATACCTCACAGAACTACAGATCATTCATGTATATCATTTTCATTGCAGCAAATACAGCAGAAATAACAAACTGGAACTTTCAAAATAGTAACCTTAAATCCACCCAGTCGTACATTCAGGTTTTTATCTTCGAGACAGTCCAAAACTGCTGACCAATTTTGATGAATCATCGGCAGATAATCGTCCGGGAAATGTTGCAAATTTTTTAGACATAGACCCAAGATTTCCAAAACTAACAAGCGAACTGGTACGTGAGAAGAAAAGAGAAGATGTTTCGTTCTGAAAATTCACCATAACTGTCTCCACTTTATATTATACATATGAGGTAACAATCGTAAGTTTATATCCAAAAAAAGAGCCTGAAAATAGCCTGGGACTTCCATTAAAAGGACAAGTGAACATACCTCTTCAAAACATTGTTTACAGATTCAACAAAGTTAGGCTTTGGAGCTTTCTTATCTGGATCATCCCCACTATACTCAATTTCTTGAGGCCTGACATCAAAGAACCATTTCCCAATAGCTACTTCAAAACTAAGCATGGCCCTGAGAATCAAAATTAACCATTCCTGAAGCATAAGTTCAATATATTTCAAACACATACACAATTACGAAAACAAATTCTGGCAAGAATCGAAACAAAAAGAAAATATACTTGCGATCCTAAGTCAACTGCGAGCAGAAGTTCTTGAACAACGTGATTGGTGATCTCAAACAATTCAGGATCCTTGCAATGATCGAGCAGTGAGGACAATACACAAGGTGTGCGAAGATTGCTACTGTAAGCTCTTGAACGAACTGCTACCTTTGGTAAGAGATATTTCCCGTAAGTAACACAAAGAGAGGATATGTTAGCTTCTCCTACTGCCTGGAAAAAATCTAAAAATGAGAAAAACTGAAATTACTAACTTCGCTGTAGATTGATTAAAAACCTGCAAGAATTTGAAAAGAACTTGAGACAATGCCTCTCAAAATCTGTTAGAGTAGTAATATAATTGTTCATACAGTAAGACAAAAAAGAAAAAATCTTGAACAAAGCAAACCTTACTTTGCTTTCTCCAATCAGTGAATGAAGAAACACGATCTTTCAATTAAAAGAATAAAATATTTTACAAAACAAACCAAAGCGGCAGCTTTTAAAGCTTGTTCAGCACTTTCTGCACAAATTAGGTACGACGATTTCGTCCACTTAAATATTTCGAACAAAGTTTCATTCATTAACTGCAATCCGATTATAACAGAAATTAAAAACTAAGAGTAAATCAAAATAAACTGAAGGAAAGTTTCAATAGTAAACGTAAATCGAAATCGTAAATCCATGCTCTGATTTTACACTTCAGACATTTGAATCCTAGATCAAACTCAAATGAAGCTGAAAAACGAAATTCTAGGCTTCTCCAACAACCCAGCAGATTTGGAATAGGTTATTAGTTACAAACTTTGTATTTTCTTAAAACATATCTTAATATCTCTTGAAAAATTGAATAATTCGACCTTTTGGCATAGAAAGATAGAAGGAGTACATGTGAAAGCAGCAGCACAAAATGATAATAAAATGGTGACCAGACAACTCCCAGTACCTTGCTCATCATTATCATCTGTAATTCAGAAATCCAAAATAACCAAATAACCAATCAGTGTTTTATTCCATTTCACTTTTCCCGCCTTAAATTTTATAAAAAACAGAAAAAAAAATTAACAAAAACAAAAGCAAAGGTTAACCTTCAATGACATCATCTCGTGGTGGATGATGTATGTCGGTTATTTCTAGCAGTTTAACAGCTTGTTCGACTAGTACTTGTAAAGCATCAATAAATTTTTGAACTGGCTTAGTAGTTTGTGCACAAGCTGCTCTTAATAAATATACAGCAAAATGATAACTGCCTGTCAACTTTTCCAATTCCTTCGTATGACCAATATTTGCAGATATACAATCTAAGAGAACCTGAAATATAAAGTCACACACACACACACACAATTTCTCAAGATTTCAAAACAAAATTTTAAAGTTTCTAAATACATTCGATATTTCAAACTCACGTTAATATGATGGAATAAAAGAAAAATAAAACTTTTTGAATATTCCTTGATGTAGAAAAAGCCATTGAAACGATAAATTTTCCACTAAAAAACTTTACTATAATTTTGAGCAGGATTTCGAAATATAATATAAAACTAGCAACAAAAAAAGTATGTAATGGAAAGTAACGAAATTCACGGAAACCAGAAAATAACTTGCATAAGACTGTTTACTTGTAGCTAACAGCACAGCGATCTGACTGACTGTTTTCTTTTCGACATTGTGTAGAAGAGGCAAATCGTCTATTACGTCTGTAAATAAAAGTAAACAAATTTCTGAAAACGCAAAGAATTTTTAAAGAAATATAGTGCATATGATACACAAATATATCTGTGAGAGAGATGGAACTTATTTCTTTATTGATAACACCACTAATACTGAAGGGAAAAACTTTCTGAGCTTAGAATCGTACACTAAAACTCTCTGAACTATGACATACATATCTGAAACAATATCATCCTTCATTAGAACATTTATCTAAATGATTTCTTAAGCCATTAAAGGAAGACTTTCACAGCTTTTCTTTTCAAAACAATTGCTTGCCTAAAACATCGTTTTTGTCGGTGACTTCACGACTCAAACGTAATCGCTTAGCATTCAATCGAAGTGTAGATGATAGTGCGAACGTTAACTGTTCAGGCAATTTTGCACCTAATAAAAGATCGTCGCAATCAGAATTCATTGAAAACAGTACTCCCAGTAACTGAAAATTGACTGCGTCTTACTTTTACTAAACCAATCAAGTGTGAGAATTTGCTTCCTCAACAAATAAAACTACATTGTTTCTATTATTGCTAAGAATATCAGCATTACTACGCGTTATGGAATCTACAAAATAGAATTTATTCCTCAAGCAGCTGATTTGGAAGATTTATAACATAGCAAAATTTTATAAAAAGTTCAAAGCAGTAGTCTAAGAATAAAAAATTCAAAGCAGAAGCCTGGACAAATTTCCCTTGATTTCTAAAACAGATAAGTACTATGCTTTAAAAAGCAAACAAGCAGTACCTCCAGTTTCTTATGTTACATAAACAAGAATTATCGAAACTAAAGCTTGTTTAATTTTTAACAGAGATATTTAATGAAAACTAGCAAGAATATAAACTATCCGCCAGCGTTTTCATCATTATTATCACGCATTTTAATTTTCTTGCCTGTTTTAAACACCCTTCAACATCGCCGCTAACAATGGCTTCCGTAGGTATAGTAGTAGACAACGAATATAACCGCTCCCTTAAACGATTGATAAAACTTTCTTTTAGTGCATGCATCAAATGTTCTTTAACCTCTTTCGAAAATTCAGCAATTCTGAAAATCACCATGAATAATGAATCGATTACAAGTTCTTCTACGTTCCTGACTATCAAAAAGTTATTTTTAATACTTACATTACGAGAGGATCTTACAAAGAATGGTTTTCAAAAATTAATTAGTGTCAAGAAAATTAAAACTGTTATACTGACGTGCAGACTCTAAATTCAAACAGCAGTGAGAGCATAAAAATGTCATGAATTATAAACTTACTTTTCGTATGGATCACTCAACAACAGTAGAACAGTATCAATCAGAATATTTTCAATTGAGGAAGCAAGACTTGTAACACAATGTCTGTAGATATCATGCAAAAGAACAATCAAAGCAAACCGAATGATGTTATGCATTGTCGTAATTAATTAGGAAAATTAGCCAATTAATCAATTATGAGTAATTATTTTCGGATAAATAATTACTTTAAGATCCATAATGTTACCTTATGGAAATTATCTATTAGTTTAAAAGCTATATGAAAATTATAATTAATACCGGAATTGATAATTCAATGAAT